TCATTGTCCTTAAATTGTCCTTTATATGCCTATTAGGTAAAAATCCAGCTTGTCCTTCGTCTATAACTTCTTGTAAGTATAACTTCAATCTTTCCGAAATTATTTTGGCAAATAGTTTATAATCATTGTTCAGAAGTGAAATTGGTCTGTAGTTTTTTACGTTTGTTAAATCCTGTGTTTCTTTTGGTATAAGTGAGATTGTAGCCTCTTTCCATGTTTCTGGAACTTTCTTCGTTTCTCTAATATTATTCATCAAAAGTTCAAAAATTGGTTATCAGCTCCTCTTTAATTTTCTTATAAAATTTTGCTGAAAAGCCATCAAATCCTGGAGCTTTCCCCATCTTCGATATTCTTTTATTTTATTTTTGTCCACTTTCTTTTTTGCAAAAAGATTTACATAGTATTTAAAGAACGCTCTTTTGATTCCATTCATGTCTACTAATTCCTTTCCACCTTCACAATCTTAGTTATAATGTTCCTCTCCTTTATTTTTTTCAATTGCCATGCCAAATATTTCCCTGGCTTGTTTGCCCCTTCAAAGGATTTTTGCTGTAATTTTTTCAAATTCCAATAAAGTTTTTGGTTTAAAAAGGCATTTAATTGTTCTTGTAAAATTTGTATCTGCCTTATTATTTTCTTTTTTCCTGGTCGCTTCTTTAATTCTGCCTCTTTTGTCCGTAATTGCTCCATAATCTTATTCTGCTGTTCCAGTCTCTTTTTCTTTTCTTTGCTATTTAAAGATATTAAAAGACCTCTAATTACTGCTTTGTATGTATCCCATACCAGTTGGATCGGCATATCTTGTGTCATATTCGTTTGAAAGAACTGATTAGTATCTTTACTTACAATCTCTACAATCTCTTTTTGATCCAATAAATCTTCATTTATTCTCCATCTTGGTTTCTTCCTTTCTCCTTTCATTTTCCAAACTTTTGGATTATGGTCTGAATTTTGTCTTGGCATTATTTCAATTGTCTTTGTCTTTAAAACTAATTCTCCCATTGCCCATATCATATCAATTCTTGAAAAAGAGTCATGTCTGTTTGAATAAAATGTAAAGTCGGGGTTCCATTTCCTCCATACATCTTCCACCCGCTCTTGCTTTGCCAACTCAAAAAAAGCTTTTGGCAGTTTTCCACAATTTTCATCTTTTTTTGTGATTTCCTATCTAATTTGTAGTCTACTGTCCCATTGAAATCACCTGCTATTATGGTTTTGCTCATATGCCACTTGGTCCAGATCCTGTGTCAATTCTTTAAAAAAAAGTCTCTTTTGCCCTGTTGGGGGCATAAATATTTACGATCAAAATCTTCTTTTCCTGCACCTTTATTTCTATTGCTATATATCTTCCTTCTTTGTCTTTAAAAAATTTCTTTTGGTTCCAGCTCTTTTTTTGCATATATCACAGTTCCTCTGTGCTTTTTTGTTGCCAATGAATAAAATTCTTCACCTAATTGTTTAGCCGCCAAATATTTAAAATCTTGTTTTCTAATATGAGTTTCCTGTAGACAAATCACATCACTTTTTTGTTTCCCTAGCCAATGTCTCACAATTTTTCTTTTATTGGGTGAATTTAGTCCATTTACATTCCATGAGAATACTTTGAAATCCATCATATTTTCCTTTTACTTGTCTCCAAAGTCCTTATCAAACTCATACATAAATTCTGCCATTCTACTCAAGGTCTTAATCGTGTATCTCTGATTCTGATAAGTAAAACTCAGTCCTTGCGGTATCTCCCATCTATACCTTATGTTCAGACCTCTCAACTTATCCGCAAGCTTCTTAATTTTTTTCCTGTCTTGCAAAAACTGTCTTGGCAGTTCCTTCATTACCATTATTTTCTTTCCATCCATTACAAAAGGTACTGTATATTGCTTCTTAATAATGAGTTCCTTCATCCTCTTGGTAACCAACTGCACAATGACATCTCTTGGTAAATTTTTTTGTGTTGCATAGGTTGAGTTCACTCTGTAGATTAAATCAAAGTGTAATTCTGTCTCATCCACCTCTTCATCTTTAAGAATGGCTGCAATCACTCTACTTCTTATCATCTAGTTGTTCTTCCACTCCTCTCAGCCTTAAGTGTGTTTGCATAGCTCTGCAGTCCATCATTGTACCCAACATCTTATGGTCTTTTGCTACTGCTTCCACTTTTTGGGTGACATCTTGCATTTTTTGATCTATTTCAGAAGATTTCTTGCATTTTTTGATCTATTTCAGAAGATTTCTGCGACAAATTTGGAGCTCTTTTTTAAATTCTCCTACTTCTTTTTCTAATTTATCTCCCATTTCTCCTACTTCTTTTTTTAATTCAGCAACTTCCGAGACTAGCAATTCTTTCATTTGTTTTCCCATCTCTTGAATTGCCTCTGTCATCCTCTGTTCCATCAGCCTGGTCCGCTGCTTTAATCCGTCCCCCGGCGTCTTCCTGCTTGTTTGTAGTTTGACGTCGTCCGCTCCTCTTCCGGTCCGTTCTCTGCTGTCCGATGTCTCTCCTGCAGCTTCCGATGTCACAGGTTTCTCCCTCCGTCTACTTCCGGTTCTTGCGACTCGGCCACAGCTGCTCCTCCCTGCTTATCTAGGGGAGAGTTTTGGCTTCTCTTTCCCCTAGTCAAGCCCCACTCTCGCGATCCTCAGCGTGAGTTTCTATTCGCTATCTTTTCTCAACACCACAGGAATGCACAACAAAGTTTTTAAACGCTGTTTTCCTTGCTTTGGGATTGACTTTTCAACAATTTTTTGCTCAATTCTTATTCACTGTCCACAAATACTTTTCCGGATGTTTTTATCTACGTTGCCAGCTTTCACCCAGTAAGTAAAAATTAAAGTTGTTACCTTGCTTCTTTAATTTGGTCGTCGCACTATTTCAATCAGTTCAATTTTTCCCCCCACTGTCCATGAGATCGGGTAATGGCGATTTTAAACTGAATTCTCAGCTCGGCAGGCTCCTGTAGCGATGAATGCAACACCCTCTTTGGGAGAGGAGATCAAAGTGCAAAACAAGTCTCTTCCGAGGCTTGATCGCACCAACCTCAACTCTCTCTCGGCTCTCGATGCTTGCTTGACTCTCCCCCTCCCTGGGGAAGGTTGCGTTGGGCTGTAAAATAGCCCAAACTGTCAGGAGAAGCCCCCGTCCACCCTGCACGGTCGCAAGGTGCGTCAGATTGCCATTTTTTCCCCAACCGGAAGCCCCAGTGAAGATGAGATTGGATCAAGGCGGCAAGATCATTGAATGGCAGCAAATTAGCACACAAAAGTCAGTGCTAACAAACAGATGTGAGAACGAAGCCAGAGTCCATACATACAGGTAGTTTTTGTTGTTGTTCAGTCGCACAGTCGAGTCCGACTCTTTGCGACCCCATGGACCAGCTCCCTCCAGGCCCTCCGGTCTTCCGCCATCCTCTGAAGTTTGCTCAACTTCATGTTCGTTGCATCGATGACACTGTCTAACCATCTCGTCCTTTGCCGTCCCCGTCTTCTTTGACCTTCAATCTTTCCCAGCATCAGGGTCTTCTCCAGTGAGTGCTCCCTTCTCATTTGGTGGCCAAAGTATTTGAGCTTCAGTTTCATTATCTGGCCTTCCAGGGAACAGTCAGGGTTGATTTCTTTGAGGATGGACTGATTTGTTCTTCTTGCAGTCCAAGGGACTCTCAAGAGTCTTCTCCAGCACCATAGTTCAAAAGAATCTATTCTTCTGCGCTCGGCCTTCCTTATAGTCCAACTCTCGCAGCCATACATGACTACTGGGAATACCATTGCTTTGACCATGCGGACTTTTGTTGGCAGGGTGATGTCTCTACTTTTTATCATGCTGTTTAGGTTCGCCATCGCTTTCCTCCCAAGGAGCAGGCGTCTTTTAATATTCGAGGAAGACTGTTTCAGTGTATTTGAAGAAGTATGCACCTATACATGCAGAGTCTCTCTGTTCTCGCATGTACCCAGGGCTGAGTACGGTTGGTCTTGGGGGTGCCACTGGACTCAGGCTTCATTCTCACATCTGTTTGTTAGCACTCACATCTGTGTGCTAATTTGCTGCCATTCACTGATCTTGCTGCCTTGATCCAATCTCAGGTTCACTTGTGCATCTTAACTCTAACTGGTCCATCCTGACATTCTCTCTCTCTCTCTCTCTCTCTCTCTCACACACACACACACACACACACACACACCCCTCTTCCTGTATGCAAGGCTTGAGGAAATTTTGTTTCAATTTGTCTGAGGAAGTGTGCTTGCACACTAAAGCGAACACCTTAAATAAAACTTTTTGTTGGACTTAAAGGTGCCATTGGACTCAAACTTTATTCTACCAGTATTCATATAAAGCATATGGATATATTTTATTTTGATGGATCATGTTCTTTTTTGTGTTTGTTTAGGATTTAGGGATACTCTTCAATGTGCACAGTATTCATGTATTTTTTAAAAATGTAAACAAGGCAACAAAAAAATAAGTACAGACAACAGAAATGCTGAACAAAACATGTCCCAACCACCACACGTCTCTGCTGACCTGTGACCCGGCTGCCTGCGCTGCTGACTGCCCCATGGCCACGCTGCTGACATTCATGGCTCCGGTGGAGGCAGGAAACGGGTTCTGCGGCAGGAACTGGGTCTGGGCGGAGGCCTGGCCCAGCAGGCTGCTCGGATGGGCTCCCATCACGCTCTGGGGCTGGGGCATCCGCGAGGGAGACATGGCCACCTGGCACACAAGGCAAACGACCGGCAGTCAGAACCCGGCCCACAGGGGTGCCAAAGGGGTGCCCGTAGGGGAAGCCATTCCAAAGGGAGGAGGGAAAGGAGGCATGTCCAAATGCCGAAAGCTATATTTCAGCATTTCTCTGAACCAAACAGGATTTGGATATAAATGAAGTGCATAAATATATAAAATACAAGAGGCACTTTAAATTGTTTACATATCATGAAGAAACAAACCCGGAAATCAGAACACAGTGACTTGGCATAACCTATGGACCTGGATATCACAGCCTCCCCCCTTCCCCCAAACCCCTCTGATGTTACCTAACTCTCTTCCAAAATTTTCACCATACTGGATTGGAAAATGTATTTTACCAACCAACATGGTGTAACAGTTAGAGTGCTGAATTAGGATCTGGGAGACCCAGGTGCTAATTACACCCTCCCAAGGAAACTCGCTGGGTAATCTAGGGCCACTCTCTCTCCCTCAGCCTCTAACCAACCCCACAGGACTGTTGTGAGGATTAAAAGGGAGGAGGCCACTTTGGGTCCCCATTGGTGAGAAAAGCAGGGTATACATAACTAAGCAAACTGAATAATTATATTTGAAACATAAAAAGTTAATCTGGCACAGCAGACAAAGAGACTACTGTCTGAATACCTTAGTTAATCCAAAAGTCCCTGCATACGAAAGAACGGAAGATAGCCTTGTTGTCCTTCCAAAGCATTATAAAAGTTATTTTTTACACAAAAACATGAGGCAAAAAAGATACTAACTGCTGGAACGGCGCTCATGTTGTTCATCTGGACAGGATGGCTCATTGGAGAAGCAGCACGGGGTCCCATGGGTGCCTGCGGCATCTGGACATTCCCTATGGACATAGGGTTAAACTGATTCACTCCCATTCCTGCAAAATGCACCCCCAGAACAGCTCGTTAGGAGCAAGGAACCCAGCCACGTCTCGATATACAAATCTAGACACTGATGTATTTGGAAAATGTGTCTTCTGCCTTGCCGGAGGCCTGCCTGAACAGGACAGGAAGAATTCTCAATAATAAAACAAGCTGTAGAAAGGAGCTGGGGCACACGAACAGCACAAAAGAATGTACAGCATCCTAAAATGATATCCATAAAATAGTCCGCAGAGGAGAAGCGGTCCATAAAAGCAACTGAAAAAAGAAAGAACTCCTCAGTTAAAAGCCAGGGTGGAAAGAAACGTTTTGCCACGGTGGGCCTAAAGGACAGCACGGCCGGGCCTCAAGGGGGAGGGCATCCCCAAGGTAAGATGCCATCACTGGGAAGAGCCCTCTGTCTGGTCACCACCAGCCTCCTCTTGGCAAGCAGAGGCCGAGAAAGCAGGGCCTGAGAACAGGATGCTGCCAAATGTGTGGAATAAGGCAGCCCCAAGTCATTTAGAGCACTTTGAAGTGTGCCCAGAAGCAAGTGGGCAGCAAGCTGCCAGATTTTGGACCAACCGAAGAAGCAGAGTCTCCCACTCCCAACCCAGCCATCCTCTCCAGGATACCATGGTGGAGGATGGTGGCGGAGACCAAGAGACCCAGGAGAATCCAACACCCCGGTCACTCTCCCGGCAAAGTTAGTTGGTCAGGGCGCGACAGAGGCCACTTCTGTCTCAAACCGAGGCCTGAATAATCTGTCCCCTACCAGACCAGCGGGAAGTGTGCCGTCACCACCCATCAGAGCACTTTGCTCAGGAGTGGAATGTTGGCTGCTGGGTGGTAGTTACTTATGCCGCTTGGGCCCAGGGGTACCCTCGGCATTAACAACTGAAACGAACGCTGCGGCAGAACTCACCCCACACACTGCGGGAGAGCAAATGTGATGGTAGAGACCAGGACAAAACATGAGAGTGTCATGCTCTTGCTTTTAACAACAACAACAATCAGTGGTTAATTAGATGTGAAAGCAAGCTGAGGAGGCACCAGCAGAAACTTAGCCAAGGAACCGAAGGTGGAAATCTTAATTGTGCAAAAAGGTTTCTTGCTGATTGTTCATTGACTGGCATACCCACAGGTTGCATTACTGCTTGATATCAGCAGGAGTGGAACTTCTTGGCAACTTCTATGTGTCAAGTAGTTCTGGGTCCGTTCCACAAAGGGAATATGCACACATGCCGGTTTAACTGTGGAAGCTTCCGCAGGCTGGAGCACAGGGTGCTTCCACCCCCTTCCCACCTGCCCACCATCTTGGGCACCAGTTGGCGAGGGAAGGTCCTCCGGGCCCAGCCACCACGCAGGCTCATTTCCATTTCACACAGCTTGGGCCAGGAGGCCCTCAGCGCAACCATGTCCAGCTCCCATCTTAGCAACTCTTCCTGGTTCCTCCACAGAGACATCCCCAGGAGACCGATGGCCTCTCTTCCAAACATTAACTCTTTATTAACTGTATATTCCTTGGTAAACTCTTTACCACAATGCCAAGCACTTCAAAGGAAGGAATCAACAAATTACCAGAGGCATTTATTCCCTTACTCTTATGTAACCATAAACAGGAGAAGCTGTTACAGTAGGGAAGGCAGACTGTACAAAGAGCCACTTGAAAACCGGTAGCCCCTCTGTCTTCTCCCTTGCTGGCTCTGTGTAGTCCCACTTGCGAGAAAATGAGGTTTTACTCTGTGGCGAGAACTACAGTCAAACGTGCCCATTTCTCCTGCATCAAAGGGAAGGACCAGACAGCTGCTTTACAGAGAGAGAGAGAGAGGACCCCCCACACACACACTTCAATGCTGCAGAGGGTGTGTGGCACTTGGAGAAATACCTGCATGCGATTAACATTTCTCCACTGAAGATGTGAGCCACCTGTCCTGACCTTGGCTTGAGCAGAAGCCCAAGGGCCGCGAGAGCCAGTGTGGCGCAGGGCTATTACTGGACGAGGCCAGAGGTCAGCAACCTCTGACAATGAAGGAGCCAACCTATGTTGAAATGCATTTCATGACAGTGAATCAAAGAGGCTGCCTTTGCCTTCCATCTTTTAAATCTGCAGCCAATCATATGCCTAACGAGAGAAGAAAATCTAAGTTACTTTTTAAGGTCAGCTTTGAAGCTCAAAAAAGGAAGGACTCAAGCAATAGTTTTTTATATCCTTTCCAAGCAAATTTGTGTTGATGTCATACAAAGTGTATGTACACTCTAAGCTCCAATCTAACCATTCAATTGAAGCATGCCCAAGAGGCATGCAAAATCTCAAAATTAAGAGATACTGACGAACTGACTAAACTGTAGCTGCTCCTTGCTAGTTTTTTCTTGTGTCATTTGTAAGGATTCAAAAACCTTCCTAGTTGAAATCCAGAATGTTGAGAGAGAGAGAGAGAGAGAGAGAGAGAGAGAGAGAGAGAGAGAGAGAGAGAGAGACAGAGAGACAGACACAGAGAAAGAAAAAGAGAGACAGACAGAGACAGACAGAGACAGAATATCAGCTGCAAGCCTGTGTTAATTACTATCACGGTGGTGACTGGATAGTGGGAGAGTGCTGGGCAGGCATCAGGACTTTGAAGGCTCATCTATAATAATAAGCATAGGTGAGAACTGACGCAGAGGGAGGCTTTCCAGCGGCTTTGCTCTTTTTGTTATATGCAAAGAAAAAAGGCAGGGCGTAAACATTTCAAATGATCCTATCCGTCAAGAAGGGAGCCCGGACAGTGCTTCCACCAAAGTTGCCTAATGGTACTATAAGCCACAGAGGAGACCTGAGCCTCCACCTAAAGGCACGCATCTCACAGCACCTGCGAGACGCAACCCTCTCCCTTCAAGAGTGCCACCCCCTCCAGGACAATGCTGGAGCAGAAGGGACCCACAGGACACTAACCTCCACCTGGTGTTGAGCTCTCATCCCACCCACTGTGGCTTCCAGGCACTCCCTGCAGACCTTTCGGACTGCCTGTCCGCCGTGCTGTTTAGCACCAACAGGGTCGAATGCTGTTGACTCAGCTGTCCCACAGCACTACACTGCCAGGCTGAATGGCATCCCCCCACCTGGAATGCATCTTGTTCAGCGTGACCAGAAGGATACCAGGGGCAGAAGTACGGAACAGTGGCCACAAAGTCCCACATGATCCACAGGGTTGCCATCACCCTCTGGGAGAAGACAGTCAGCCAGAGTTCCAAACCAGGTTCTATTCCAAAATTAGTCCAGAAGTCTGATTAACATGGGTCTGGGTAACCCACCAAAATCCAAGAAAATACACCACAAACACAGACTTTGGTTGAAAGCTGACAAGTAAACGAAGGCTGTGAGTGGCGGGCCTAGGTGCCCAGGACAGGAAGAAGTCTGGGCTGGCCAGGGCTCGTTCTCTGCCGTTCTGTCATCTCCCGGTCTTCCTTTTGTTTCAGAGAGCCTCATTAACTGAGTTGGGCTTTGATCATCGTTTCTGATAGAGTCAGAGGTTTAAGTCAGGGGTCCACAACCTCTTATAATTAAAAAGCTGAACTACGTTGGAATTCAGAGCAAGAGTTCAACAAATGGCTAGAATGGCAAAGTTCCTTTGCCAGACTACAAATGTGCAACCTTGCTGACATAATCCACAAAGTGTCTGCGGCCTGAACACTGGTCATGGGGAGGTCTTTAATAGAAAGTGGCAAACCCCGGGGGGTCTCACAGTCAGTCCTCATTAAACACCCCCAAACCCAATGTGCATAAATCTGCACATCAAATGCACTGGGACTGCTGGCTACAGTTCGCCTTTATCTTTCCCTTTCTGTAAATCATCTGTAAGAAGCTCTTCCATCCCATAAACATCTCTGCCTGCCATTCCCTTTACACGTGGCTGATTCCAGCATTCTACCTACTCCCCTCCACTTGTACCTTAATTTACGGATTTCATTTGCTTTTTAAACAGTCATGTTTGGTTTTATACTGACCCACATTTGGATCTGGAGCCACAGGTGCAGACCCCTGGTTTAAATCCTGATCAAAGTCCTGGATGGAAATGCTCCTGTATTTGTTTCACATCCAACGTAACTTACAGTGCAATCCTAAATAGAGTTACATCCTCTGAAGCACGTTGATTTCACTGGACTTAGAAGAACATATCTCTGCTGAGGAGTGCAATACTGGAGACTGGAAGGTCCCCCAATAAAGCCCTAGCAGTCCATTTCCTTCTCTTCATCCATTCCTTTGTTGCTCATGTATCCCAGCAGGACTGCCCTTCCCACTGCAAACAGCTGGGAAGCATACCATGATCTGAGGAAGCAGCACGGAAACAGGGAGTGCCCACGAGCTAAGGAGTGCCATGGAGGGGGAGCAGTTTTTTTCTCCTCTCCTTTCGACTTCTCTGGAGACAAGCGGGGGGCTGGGGGGGGGAGGGACTGTGGCAACTGACAGCTGTCTTCAGTGCCTCCCCTCTCCCCACTGCAGTTTCAAGGGCCTGTGTGGACCACCTTACGCTGGCTTACTCTTGCTGCTGAATTGAGGGGGCTGTAATGACTGACAGTTTCCAATATCCTTACAAAGCTTACAATTTTCTGCTGATAAGGTGTCAGCCCTTGGACTGCAGAAGCCCCCCAAACAGGGCAGGACCTTGACCAAAGTTCAAGGCACTGGAACCACCACTGCTTCACAGACGCATTCCAAGAAGTCCCGGTGCCATCCCACTGTGATCTTAGGCCACTTTGTTAAATGTGACCATTGGCATGGCTATTGGCATGGATTCCCAAGACAAAACATGCTTTCTATCACTTTCATTGGCACACAAGAGGCAAAATACATTCTCCACCCCCAGCACCGGTGGGTGTCACAGAGAGAAAGGCTAAGTAGCAAATAGTGGACGTTAAATACCTTGAGAGACCTGCATGCGGCTCATAGGCACGTTTGGCATTGGCATCGGTCCGTCTGTAAGCACACAAGATCCGGTTACTTTTGATGATTTCATTTAAAAAAGAACTAAGAAATTATGCTACTAGCACTACAAAGCAAGCACACCAAAATGTCAAAAATCAGTTCCTCCTGCTGCTGAACATTTGCGGCTGAAGCCACCTTAGCTGTCCAGCCTCCGTTTGTCTTCCTCGGGAAACAGAACAAGTGCCTGTGCTCCTCTGGAGGGAGCTGCAGCAAGTAAAAGGGGCAGAGAAACCTGGGTGTGTGTGTGTGTATGTGTGGCTGGATGTTTCTTTGCTCCCTCATCTCTTGAAAGGACCTGCTCTGGACTGGCAGAACCCAGAGCAAGACCTCTTTTGTCTGACGGCAGGTCCAGTAATGACTAACAGGCCAGAAGACAAGCAACAAACCCACTTCCACAGTGCGCCTTGCCTGCGTTGCACGCGACAAGGCAATGCTCAGAATGGGGATTTTAGAGGGAAAGGCCTGCAGGCTCAGTCCTCAATGAAATCCAAGACACCTGGAGGGTTTAAAAGAGGAGCACAAGAAGGAAAAAAGTACACTGCAAGGCCAGGGTTGACTACATGCACTACGATAACACGGAGTGCAATGCTCTTTCAAGTACTGGGCCTATTTTCAGTTTTTCTAACAGAAAACAACTTCCCCATCCCTGGAGGTAGGTCTTCTCATATGGCTGGCGCCTTCCTTCCTCCATAGGCAGGGCAGCTGCAAATTCTTCTGCAACCCTTTCCACTATCCTCACGAGACTGACCCCAGTCCATATGTGGGACACACTTACTCAGCTCCCCCCAAACAAACAAAACAAACAAAAAACCCCACTGAAGCATCCTAACAAGCGGACACCGCTTGGCCGTGGAAACAAAGCAGCCGCAGCCCCAGGTGGAGCAATGCCCCACGGCGGGAGCCGGACTCCCCAGAGCCTCGTTGGGCTGCTCCTCCCTCCCAGGCTCCGGGACTGCCAGCCAGTGACTCTTCCTTCTCTGCCATTCCCCTCTCAGGATGGCAGCTGTACCGATGGCCCTCTCTCACACGGAAGCACCAGTGACAGACGGGCCCGTGGAGGAACTCTGCACATTCCCTGTAAGCCAGCACCCGCTCTCTCTCAATGGTACATAGCCAGGAGTTGCCAGCGAGCGCAAGAGGAGAGACATACACACCCCTACCCTTGGCACTTCTACCTGCTGTTGCAAGAAGGGCCCACCACAGTAACAGGGGGGTAGTGGGTTGCCTCATCTGCCACTGGAGGGGGGGCTCCCCCCCATCATCGTCAAGTGGGGATTCTCTTCACCCAGATGTCTGTTCTTACATCACGGAGAAAGCGGTAAGGATATTAAGCAGGATCTCGGGGGGGGGGGGGAGATGGGAAAAAGAGGAGACACCACAGATGGAAGGACGAGGATTCCTCTCCCCCACCCCCCGGGGTACAAAGGGATCCAGCAAATACAAGTGCAGCTCCTTGGAGGGACCTGGCTCCTACTCCCCTGACTGTACGGTGACCTACACAGAGCAAACAGATGTGGGTTTTCCCCCCTGGGGCTTCAAAATTTCCAGATATTATATAATCTTGCTACATTTCCTGTGCTTTAGGAGTGGCCAGGTTTGATTACTTTAATAATGCTTTATACACAGAGCTGCCTTTAAAGAGTCTTGGGAAAATTCCACTAGCCCAAAGTTCGGTAAACACAATTAGCACATTTTGCCTGGATGCAAATATCTTCCTGCCCTGTCCCAGACAGCCCGTGCTAGCCCAACTGAGCGGGTTGACCCTGGCTAGTATTTGGATGGGAGGCCTCCGAGGAATCCATCACCCCAGGGTCGAGACGCAGAGGCGGGCAATGGCAGACCACCTCTCTTGGGGTCACCCCAAGTGGGCTGTGGCTTCCTCCTCCTCCCCCATCTTTCCAGGCACAGTCCGATGCCTTGGTTTCCACCGATGAAGCCCTCAATAGGCAGAGGCTTCGGGATCTGCACGGCAGCTGGCATGCAAACTGGAGGCGCTGGCACAGGTGCCTCCGAGTGTGAGGCAGGGCCTCTCCTGCAGTTGTGTCTGGCTTGTGGCACACTCTTCTGAGGGACGTATTCCCAGCTCCGTCCTCTTTGCTAGAAAGCTAGAGTAGGAAACCTCAGAGATGCGACCCAAAAGGCCCAATAGAAGCAGCACTGATATTTTCAGCCAAAAGTCTGGATAAACGAGACTACTGCCTTGGCAGAAAATATCAGTACAGCTTCTATTGGGCCTTGTGGGTCACATCACTGAGGCCTCCCTCCTCTGGTTTTTTAGGGGGTTTTCCCTGTTGCTTTAGAATTGGACACTATACATTGCTTCAGATGCTGTTTTTACCTGGACACCATTTTATAGTTTCTTTGTAAGTTGTCTTGAATACCATCATTGATAGAAAGGAGAGGGTATATGTTTCCAAAATAGATACTTGTGAAATGCCTATTAGTGGGGTAAAAATACAAAACTAAAAAACTCTGCCTTCTCCCTTCGCAAGTACTTACTGGGAGGTCTCACAGGCTGCGCCATCGTTGCTGTCACCTGTGGAATGCCGGCCGCCTGACTCCCTCCTGGGGGCTGCAAGGCCGGCTGGTTACCCATGATCCCTTGCTTATGTAAACGAGACCTCCGCTTTTCTTCTAGCTCCTTTTGAATTTTATAGATTTTCTCAGCCAATAAATGGTAGTATTCATCCTGCAAAGGACAATTATGCTAGGGTTAGTTATAAAAGATATTTGAAACAAAGAGCCACAGATAATTCAGAATAATGCTTACTTCACATGGACAAATGTAGCGTGAACCATCTAGTTTTGCTTAGACTGTATTCTAGAAATATGAACACGCACGCTGAGGAGACTGCAAGACTCCCTGAAGCTCAGGCACAATGCTAAGTTGTAGAACACAGTCTGACCTGATTAACCATACCAGGACCTGTTGGCGGCGGCGGCAGCAGCCTGCTGACAATACCCATGTTGAAGAATCCAGACTGCTGTATGATCCCTCTAGTTCCGGAAGGGGGGGGGAATAGGTGGTGACAGGGTGGAGCACCGATCACATCTTCATTCTGCCCTCCTTCCGAGGAGCACGGGACAGCATCCATGGCACAGGGGCTAGTCCAGACTGCTTAGACTGTTTAACTGATTATTTCAGCATATGTGTTCACGTCCTCTTAGCTTTGAGGATACTTGCACCAAAAAAGCACAGTCCAAATGTTTCTTCAGTAAATAATTAAATTTATCCTCATAGCAATCCAGTGATCCAAGGCAGGCTTTTATCATCTCCAGCTGATCAAGCAGTTGGTTCCCTTCCCCGAATGCAATGACTTGGCAACAGTGATCCATGCGATAATCACCTCAAGACTAGACTACTGTAATGCTCTCTACATGGGGTTGCCCTTGTCACAGATCCGGAAGCTACAGCTAGTGCAAAATGCGGCAGCCGGGCTTTTGATGGGCCTCCCTATGCAGGAGTACATCCAGACTGTGCTGAAAGCATTGCACTGGCCACCAATAGTATACCGAATCCACTTCAAGGTGCTGGTTCTTACCCTTAAAGCCCTTAATGGTCAGGGGCCTACATACCTGAGGGACGCCTTTCCCCACATGTTCCCCAGAGAGTACCGCGGTCAGGGTCCCAAAATCGATTGACCCTCCCAGGACCTAAAGACGGCAGGCTGGCTATAACCAGGGCCAGGGCTTTCCCAGTGGTGGCTCCATACTGATGGAATGAGCTCCCGAACGAGATCAGGGCCCTGTGGGACCTTATGCAGTTCCGCAGGGCCTGCAAGACGGAGCTCTTCCGCCAGGCCTTCAACTGGGAGCCCCCCCCCCCAATAACTAACTGTGAGCCCTGCCCTTCGGAGTCACCAACAAAAGCCTGAGCCAGCCACATAAGAAGCAGAATGAGGAGTGGATCAATTGGATAGGACATCGGCTTGCTGCCACCATCGCCAAACATCATCATCATTATTATTGCCAGACCAATATGTACCAGCACTTGATATCATTTGTCTTGTTTTTAGAAGGTTTTATTATTGTTTTAACACCCATCTATGCATTTTAATTTTTTGTAAGCTGCCCTGAACCTGCTTCGGTGGGGAGGGTGGGGTATAAATTAGATAGACAGACAGACCATGCATAGAACTGCCCTCCAAAGTCAACAGTCACGATCATCTGAAAAACAAACCAGTGAAGGTTTGGCTTCCTTTTCCAAGCCAGAAATATAAAAGGACATACCAAGTTTTTCAAAGTGGAAAAGGGTGCTGCTGTAGGACTTTTGCTTTCACCCCTTTATGCAAAACATCCTTAATAAAAAGAGCATTTCATTGATCAAATCCCCACTTAAATAATCGTATTCAGTTACACTTTTTCAGCCACAAAGCAAAGCAAACTGCACTGGAAGCAGAGATACTTTTTTACATCGGTGTGCCCTCACAGAACAGGGCAATTGTACATCCAACAGTAGCTCACAAATCTAAGCACTTGTCCAACAGATAACATACCCTACTGTTAGCCGATTCATACATGTCGCCTTCCACTTTCCTAGCATAAGCCACCAGATTCTCCATCCGGCGATCTTTCAGTGCAGCTGGGTCAGGAGTGGGGAAGATGGCTTGGACGCTGCATCAAGGGAAGATTGATTGATCCCCTTTTAATTACACAGCTAGAAATCCTCTACTTTCTGTCTACATTATGCAAAAAGACAACATCAACAAAAACCTCTCCAAGATCTAAAGGACCCAGACAATATCAGTCCACTTTTTTCAATTTCATAAATCAAGTCAGTCAAGAAACCTGATGATACGATATGGGAATTGGGGGGGGGGGGCAAAGTCACTTCTACATTTTCCCCATCTTCTACTAAGAAGAATAAAATGGACGGAATTTGGGAAGAGACTGTTTCGTGAAACACCTTCTCTTATAGTGAAGAGCTGAACTGATTCTCCCTGTATTCCTTCCAACACTCTACAGCAGGGGCGGGCAAACTGCAACTCGGGAGCTGCATGAAGCTCTTTCACACATATTGTGTGGCTCCTGGCAGGATGGCTGGGGAAACCTCCCCAATTGGTCTTTCCTTCCTCAGCCAGAGTTCCCCTCCCTGGGTAGGCTTGAGGTGGGGGGGGGGCAGAGAAAGAAAGCAACTTTAACTTTAAATGCTTTCTCAAAGCAGCACCCCCTCCCGCCAGCTTGGAGATGGCATTAATCTCTTTAAATCCCTTCTCCAAGCAAAGCAAAGCCTGCTGGCATGGGGGCGGGGGGGGGGCACTTGGAGTACGGATTTAAAGTTGCTTCCTTTCCACCTCTCCCATCCTTTCTCCCTCTTCATTTATTTGCTTTCTCTCTTTCTCTGTCTTTCCCCCTTCCTCCCTCCCCATTTATTTGCTTTTTTCCCACCTCTTACTTTCTTTGCACCTTTCTCTCCTTCTCCATGCCTTCCTCTTTATCTCTCTCTTCCTTCCTCCCCCCTCCCTCATCTATTTGCTTTCTTTGTTTCTTTCTCTTTCTTTCTCCCTTCCCCTCTCTTTCTATTTGCTTTCTTTGTTTTTTTCTCTTACTCTCTCGCTCCTTCCTTTCCACCTCTTCCATTCTTTCCACCTTTCTTTCTCTCTTCCTTCCTTCCCCTCCCTCCCCCATATATTTGCTTTCTTTCTTTCTCTCTCTCTCTCTCTCTCTTTCCCTCTTCCTCCCTCCCCTTCTATTAGCTTTCTTTCCGCCTTTCTTTCTCTTTTTCTCTTTCTCCTTTCCATACTCTCTCTTTGCCTCCTTCCCTCTCCCTCCTTCTCCCCATCTATTTGTTTTTCTCTCTCTCTCTTTCCGCCTCTCTATCTTTCTCTTAGACAAATAAATATAATTAGCAAACAAATATCATTGGACAAATAAATATCATTATCAATATCTGTTTTTACCCCCTTTGTTTTTATTTTTGGCAGTCTCATTTAATGTTAATAAAAAGCAAAATATACATATTTTCCAATTTTAAAAATGTGTGTAATATTTGTTCATATCTTGCGGCTCTCAAACATCTGACATTTATTCTGTGTGGCTTTTACGTTAAGCCAGTTTGGCCACCCCTGCTCTACAATGACTTCAAAGCTACTGCCACAATTTAAATCTAGGAATTAGCACTACAGTTCAACAAAAATTTCCCCAACCCCACTATAAACAGTGCCTATTCACAATAGATACTTACAGCTTATGGACTAAGTGATTGCGCAAATCCTGAGTGACATGTTCATGCCAAGCTTTCCTCATTCCAGCACTTGAAGGTGGTGTGGCCGTTGGCATAGAGCCACCAAGATTTGCAACACTGCCAGAATTTGGGCCATCATTCATTAAAGGGCTGAAGGACAGAACATTGGAAGAGATTACAAAGCTTGCCAAACACCTTTTTATTGAATACCAGATTATTATTTTGAGCACCCCCACTTACTATTTCAGCAATTAAGCAAGTAAGTAATCAGATATATCAATACAAGGAAAACAAAAGATGGGGGATAATGGAGAAAGAGTAATATGAAAGAACAATACAGAACAGCATGAATAATTATTAGTGCTATTTCCAAAACAGGAAAATATTACCACACAAAAAACATTCAGTGACAGTTTCAGACATGGCTTACTTTGCCGCCCCAAGTGAAGTCGGAAGAGCAGTTTCTGAGATCATGCCGGCTTGCTGGTCTGGTAATCCTCCCGCAGCAAGATTCATTTGATTAGCTCCTTTGGAACATAAGAACATAAGAGAACCCAATGCTGGATCAGGCCAATGGCCCATCCAGTCCAACACTCTGTCACACAGTGGCCAAAAATACCTGGTGCCTTCAGGAGGTCCAGCAGTGGGGCCAGGACACTAGAAGCCCTCCCACTGTTCCTCCCCCACCCCAGCTCCAAGAATACAGTGCATCACTTGCCCCAGACTGAGGAACAAGATGACCTCTCATTAATTCAGATGGAATATCAAAGAATGCACATTTTTAAATCACCAATGTTTATATATTAATTGTATAACAAATAAAATACTCAGTCTATATTTTTTCAAATGCTTGTTACAATAACGTTCCCAATATGGGATCTGGAGAAATCAATAAAGATGAAACCGTTCAGCAGCTTCTGTTTAACACTAAACTGAAGTGGACAGTTTCAAACGCGTAACTAAAAAGGAAACCTGAAGGGAAGGAAGGACTGGTAACTAAATAGAAGTCAACCATGATGGTTTGCCAATTGATAAAGCTAGCCAAAGATGGGCTATTGTTTTTCATCAAGCTACCACACTAAGAAGTCCATCTGTAGCAGCCGCATTGCCTTACTAAAGCCACCCACCGTATTGCTACCTGCCCCGCAGACTCACATACACTAGCACTCCTGTGCATAAATATGTCCTGATTTACTGTTCTGGATACCCCTTAAGGTCCTGGTTTCTCATGAATCAAACACCATGCAAACATCCTGGAGCAGAGCAATTCCCTCCAATGCTTGAAGCCTTTGTTACTGGTGGCTATTACCACTAGGTTCCCTTTCTCACGTCTTTTACCTACCCAACGCATTTATGGTCCGCATCTGCTGATGGGTCTGAGGCTGGGCCGTTGGCTGGCCTTGTACTTGTGGTTGCAATGCAGCCTGCGGCTGGTTGCCATAAGGTAGGCCCAGAGCAGCATAGGCCCTCTGCATGGAGCTGGGGTCAATTGGGTTAGGGTTACTCAGGGGAGGAGCGGTTGGCTGGCTTGTTCCAGAAGCAACAGAACTCTGGAGTCCATTACCAGGGGATCCAAGGAGCGCTATGAAAAACAAAAACCGATATGAATTGCATTTCGTTACCATAAGATACAACGCACACACTAATGTACAGATTAACAAGTGGCGGGAAAACTGGTCTACTCACACAGTGACTAAGGAACTGATCCGAATCTCAGTTCCAGCTCCTCAGGCACCACAAGAATAACGGTTTCAGACCACTAACAAACATAGTCTGATGGTAGCCTGAAGACTAGTAAGTTTCTGCTCTAGTCTAAGGTTCAATGGACTGCAGCCTTCTTCTTTGGATGCACCACGCAATGGGTCCTCACGAGGCAGACCGTACGAGAAAATGAAGGGGAACAATGGTGAACGGGACAGGGTCAAAGGACTGTGTAATGCGGGAGGTGACTATTCGTGCACAACAGTAACTGGTGAAAACCTGATTTCCATAAACCACACTAAGCTTGTTAACACCGATATCAGCTACAGATTCTACAGTCCTCATTAACTACAGAGTGGATATATAAGCACCAGCTGAATGGATATCTCCCCCCCCCCAAACCTCTACTCTAGAGGTTCCCAAACTTACTTGGCCTACCGCCCGCTTTTCGGGGGGGGGGGGAATTACTCAGTGCCCCCCTGGAAATCTGCCTTCAAGAAGTGGACAAAAAGATGCAGTTTGTGGACCTGTACCTGGATTGTTCAGGCCCACCTGGATCGTTCCAGCGCCCCCCAGGGGGCAGTACCGCCCACTTTGGGAACCAGCGCTCTACACCAATCTACGTGCTTCCCACATTAACCCTGAGGGCCTGGAGCTACCACAGAACTTCCACATGCGCGAGAGCTCTTGTGAAAGCAGAAATGCAAGAGACAGACCACAGCAGCTGGTTGCGCTAAGTCAGTCTTCTTGTGTCCCCACTTGTATTTCCACCCACGCAAGATCTTATGCAACCAATTTCGGGTCAACCATAACATAGAGCAGGGGTGGCCAGACTTGCTCACCCTAAGAGCCACACAGAGTAAACGTCAGAGGTTTGAGAGCCACAAGACATGAACAAATATTACATACACGTTTTTATTGGAAAATATGCAGATTTGCTTTTTATTAACATTAAATGAGACTGCCAAAAATAAAAACAAAAGGGGTAAAAAAAGAAATTGATAATGACATTTATTTGTCCAATTATATTTACTTGTTTGCTAATTATATTTATTTGTCTAAGAGACAGAGAAAGAGAGAGGTGGAAAGAAAAAATGAAAGAGGTGGAAAGAAAAACTGAGAGAGAGAGAAACAAAGAAAGCAAATAGATGGGAGAGGGAGGGGGAGGGGGAAAAGAAAGGAAGAGAGAGAACGGAAGGAAGCAACAGAGAAAGAGAAAGAAAAGTGGAAAGAAAGCAAATGGATGGGGGGGAGAAAGACAAAGCAAATAGATGGGGAGGGAGGGAGGGAGGAAGAGGGAGAGAGAACATTTATTTTTATTTTATTTTATTAGATTTATACCTTAGATTCTCTAAGCGGGGGCTCAGAGAATACCTTTAACTTTAAATGTGTTCTCCAAGCCCCCCACCCCCATGCCAGTTTGGCTTGGAGAATGGATTTTAAAGAGACAAATGCCTTCTCCAAGCCAAGCCAGCTGGCTGGTGTGGTGGAGCTTGGAGAACACAGTTAACTTTAAATGGGAGGGAGGGAGGGAGGGAAGGAAAGAAACCAACTTTAACTTTAAATGCCTTCTCCAAGCCAGCCGGTGACAGCGGCGGGGGCACTGAGAATGCATTTAAAATTAAAGTTGCTTTTTTCTTTGCTCCACCCACCTCAAGCCTACCCAGGGAGAGGAACACTGGCTGGGGAAGGGAAGATCAATCAGGGAGGCACGCCTCCCTTTCACTTCCCCAGCTGCCCTGCCAGGAGCTGCAGAATATGCATGAAAGAGCCGCATGTGGCGCCTGAGTTGCAGTTTGGCCACCCCTGACATATAGGGAGTAAAGCACTAGGTGTTCCACAAGATTTTGCCCAAGTGGAACTGTGCTATGTCTGTCTATATTTCTGCTTGTGCAACACTGGATCCAAGCCATTGTTTACAACCAAGTATTACGAACCACAAAAATGCAGTTTGGTTCATGGTTGAACCACAAACCCCAAGAACCCAGTCAGCTCGCATATGAACCGAACCAGGTTCATGCCTGAAACAGTTGAGCTACGAGGGCAGCGGGCTCTGCGCGGCACAGAATCAAGGGGCTTTCATGGGCAACCAGCCCCAGCCTCGGAGCCATTTAAACCACTGCATTCGGCTCCCTGCAGCTTTATGCAGGGGGGAAGAAAGCACTGGTGTAAATGGCTCCCAAACATTCAAACCAAACAGCTGAGGGGTGAGGATCTCCCTGTTGCTCAGCCGTCTTTCGTGAAGAGCAGGAACTGCATCAAAATTTGTGAAAGTTTGTGGCGGTTCTTCAGTTTGCAACCGTTGCTTCATGAACCACAAACTGGCCAAAACTTGTGACGAACTTTAATTCATCAGTTGATTTGTCCGCATCCCTAAGGGACTCACACCTTGGGCATTTATATTAGGCATTTTTGTGATTACAATATAAACCCAATTAACCGAAAAGGTCAACAAGCCCAAACTGGTGCTGAAAAAAGTCTACTAAGCGCAAGAGAGACAAACACAACCACCTTTAGATCCCAGCTCTGGACAGTCCAACACATCATGTAAGCTACAGTCCATCCTGGACAAGGATATTTCTCCCCTTACAAACACCTTCTATAATAATCTGGTCTCTGTACATGAGGTGCTTTCATATCTATTCCAGGTCCTTTAACGTTACTAGAGAAGGACAGTTAAACAGCAAATCATCAAAAGGGTTGATGTCAGTATAAACCATGGAAATCCATACAGCAGAAGTTGTCAAAGTGTATCTCAACCAATTAGAATATGAGGACCACAAGACATACTGACAATTTTCTCTAACGACTTGAGTAAGATTTCTCACTATTTCTTGAATTTAGACAACTACTTACGTTGATGGTTCCTCTTGTCACTGGCATTTTTCAGCGGAAGGCACACAGGGCAATCATGCCGCGTACAGTTCTTCCAGTGAGATATGATCTGACGTGATGATGCACAGTGGGCAACTAAGACAGGAAGGAAAGCCGTGAAAACAAAGTTCCACTTAGCTGTAACTGTGGTTCATCGAGTATCTTCTGTGCAGGCACACATACCCCCTGCCCCCCTGCCCCACTGCGTGCTCTGGCTTCGGCGGCGCTAGAGGTCCTGAGGGTGGGGGCGCTGCTGTGGGAACAAGCTTCCTGGCTCTGGCGCGCAGCACCCCCTGGAGGCTCTTAGCTGTAAAGACCTCTCCGAGGGCAGGCCTGCTCATGCACACAGTCCCCATGTGTGCCTGAACAGAAGATACTCTATGAACCACAGTTACAGCTAAGTGGAACTTTGTTTTCACGGCTTTCCTTCCTGTCTTAGTTGCCCACTGTGCATCATCACGTCAGATCATATCTCACTGGAAGAACTGTACGCGGCATGATTGCCCTGTGTGCCTTCCGCTGAAAAATGCCAGTGACAAGAGGAACCATCAACGTAAGTAGTTGTCTAAATTCAAGAAATAGTGAGAAATCTTACTCAAGTCGTTAGAGAAAATTGTCAGTATGTCTTGTGGTCCTCATATTCTAATTGGTTGAGATACACTTTGACAACTTCTGCTGTATGGATTTCCATGGTTTATACTGACATCAACCCTTTTGATGATTTGCTGTTTAACTGTCCTTCTCTAGTAACGTTAAAGGACCTGGAATAGATATGAAAGCACCTGGAGCTTGGTGTAGGAAAGAAGATGGGTAAAACAATATCTTGGGATAAGGGAGAAACATAGACAGACAGTCGAAGGATTACCCTCTAAGGAAACATCTTCAAGAAGGGGGGGGGGTTCCACCTGAAGCGCTGCTAACTCACAAAGCCACTAAGAAACACACTTTCATAGAGTCCAGCCAATGAACATGAGGCAAGGGGTTCAAAGGGCTTAAGCATCAACTGTGCCAAAACAATAGAGAGAGACCATTGGGGAACCAATGTGCCCTGAGGCGGGCAAAGATTACATAGTCCCTTAAGAAATCTTTTGGACAAGTGATGGGATAACACTGACACCCCCCTCCCATCAACTCCCCTATGGAAACAAGAGATGGCTGCCAGGTAGACTTTTAAGGAAGGAAAGGCCAGTCCCTTATTCCTGAGGTTCAAAAGATATTCAATTATGACTTGCAATGAAGCACTACCTGGAGAAATCTCCTTATCAATATACCAGAGGGAAAACTGCTTATACATATAAAAGTTTTTAGTACTAGGATTGCGTAAACACAAGAGCACTACATTAACTTCCTGCAAAAATATTAAGTCCCTATCCCAAGCCTCCAAGCCATCAGGTTGAGGCAATTTAGATCGTGATGAAGCACCTGATTGATATTGATTAAATCTGGTTGTTTGGGCAAGTGGAGGTACCATCCCTGGGAGGGATATCTCCATAAAGATTGGGAACCAGATTTGATGAAGCCACTTTTGATGAAGTAACTTTTTCCCCACTATAAACAATGGAGGGAATGGGGGCAACCTGTTTGGGGGCCCATAGAATTGGACCCCCTGGTCCAATGTTCTTGAAATTTGGTGGGTATCTTGGGGAAAGGCTACAGCAGCTACCCTGCGAGTTTGGAGCCTCTCCCTCAAACCCCCTCCCCTCCATCCCCCAGAATATACCCTATGTTTTCGCCATTGACTTCAATGGCCCCTAGGATATAATGGGGCCGAATTGCCGCCAAAATCCGGTGGCAATTCGACAGCAAGCCGATTCAGATCAGAGAATCTGAATCGGCCCGCAGCAGCCTGAAAGAGGCCCAGAGGGTGAAGGTTGGTTCTAGATACACAGTCTTTATACACCATTCATGAGAAAGCATCCCTGCTCAATGTGTCAACCTCCATGGTTAAGTTTCCGGGAATATGGATGGCTTGAATGGAAGTGTTGAGCTTCAATACCATGGCATGGACCAGGTCAGAATAGCCTCTCCTGGCATAAGCGCCTGTGCCCCCTTACTTGTTTAAATAAAACATTGTGACAATATTGTCTGTTTGGACAAATATGGGTCGATTCTGCGGGATACTTGAAAAACAGCTAAGGACATTATGAACTGCCCGCAACTGTAGCAGATTAATATGAAGTTGCCTCTCATCTTCTAACCATGTACCCCGTGCAGACAATCCCTCACAGTGGGCACCCCAACCCAAGAGTGAAGCGTCTGTAGTAAGGACGACTTCATGCTCAGGAGCTCCAAAGGAGATACCCTGGGATAAACTGTCACGAGAGAGCCACCATGACAAGGAATGGACAACACGTCTGGGAATAGAAATTCTATGTCATTGGGCATGCAAACCTGCTCTATAATGGGACAGAAACCAGTTGTAAGGGCCACACATGTAGCCTGGCAAGGGGCAGAAATGCCATCATAGAAGCCATATAGAAGCTATGGCTGGTTGGCTTAGGCTGAGTCGGCTGAAACAGAACGATCCTGTGCTTGAGTCGGGGCGGTTTGGGGGTGGGATTCCCACTCCCAACCTTCAATGGGGCGCCACTGGTGCCAGCGCCGGAGGTTAGGAGTATGGGAGTGCTCCTGGATGTCTCCCTAACAATGGAGGTCCAGGTAGCGGCCACTGCCAGGTTGGCCTTTTCCCTTCCTCGACCGCGCCAACCTAGCACCAGTGATCCATGTGATAAAGACTAGACTACCGTAATGCTCTCTACATGGGGCTGCCCTTGTCACAGATCCGGAAGCTGCAGCTAGTGCAGAATGCTGCAGCCAGGCTTTTGATGGGTCTCCCCAAGTGGGAGCACATCCAGCCTGTGCTAAGGACACTGTACTGGCTGCCGATAGCATACCAAATCCGGTTCAAGGTGCTGGTTTTTACCTTTAAAGCCCTATATGGCCAGGGTCCAGCATACCTGCGGGACCGCCTTTCCCCATATATACCCCAGAGAGCACTTCGGTCGGGGTCTCAAAATCGATTGACCCTCCCTGGCCCAAAGGAGGCCAGGCTTACTACTACCAGGGCCAGGGCTTTATCGGTGGCGGCCCCATCCTGATGGAACAAGCTCCCGGAGGAGATCAGGGCCCTGCAGGACCTTTTGTCATTCTGCAGGACCTGCAAGACGGAGCTCTTCCGCCGGGCCTTCAGCTGGGGTGCCACCACCGCCACCGTTATAGAGCCCTGGCCCTTGACCTTTGACATCCAGCCTGAGAAGCAGGAAGATCTGGAGCAGAAGGAATTTTAGAAAGTACACTGAAATAAGCCATCTTGAGTAACTATCTTCAGCACTTTATGAAACTGTATTAATAATGGAATTGTTTTATATGGTTTTATGTGTTTTTAACTGTATTTAATGTACTGACGGTGAGCCACCCTGAGCCTGCACTGCGGGGGGGTGGGGTATAAATGTGATTAATAAATAAATAAATAGTCCAAAAGGAGAAGGATTTTATGAACCGATTGGAATTATTTCAATCTAAACTGCCTAACTAAAGCAGAAATGGCTAACATTGTTGGGGGGGGAACCTCTTCCCGCTACAGAATCCAATATGGCGCCTATAAATTTTACCCTCTGGGCTGGGACTAAATGGGAATTCTCCCAATTCACCATGAGTCTGAATCTCTGACAGGTCTCCAAAACTAGGGGGCAATGCCTCAATAATTGATCTCTGGAGTCTGAATAAGGAAATATATGGCAACCTTGCAACCAAAAACTGGCAACCACGGGGGATAAGCATTTTGACCATACCCTGCGTGCCGTGGCCAAACCAAAAGGAAGGAAAGTGTACTGGAAATCCCACAAGAAAAACGTAGGAATTTATGGTGTTGAGGATGGACAGAAACGTGAAAGTAAGCATTTTTCAAATCAATTACAATAAACCAAAAGTTAACCTTTAATAATTGTTAAAACTGAAGGAATGGAAACCACGTGAAACTTAAAAACATGGAGAAAAGCATTCAAACTTCTGAGGTCCAGAACAGGCCTCCCCCCAACATCTGTATCAACCAGGGACATCCAAGGAAACAAACCGTCAGATGCTGGGGACTCAGACACCTCTCTCAACTGCACCGTTTCCGATGAGCGCACTCAGCGCCTGGGGCAGGTCTGGTGCTGACTGGTTAGATACTTTCAGAGGTAAGGAACATGGAAGAATCCTAGTTTGTAGCCTAATCTAACTCCTAGGCAAAGTAAAACTGAGCTAGCCTGTCACCAAACTTAACAGGAGCGGGAACCACTTCTAGTCAGAAGGAAGGTTTTTGAGATGGGGCTGCCTCTCTTGGTGGAGGCAGCTGGTGTGTTGACCCAGGTCGACTGGAACTCTTGTGTTGGGGTCACCCTGTTGGGAAGCGAAAGCCTTAGAGACAGGATACGAGGGCCCTGGAAGATTAGCGTAGCTGTAATCCTTCTGGTAAGGATGCCAGGGCTGCTGTACAAATGGCCTCTGCTTGAATCGGGACAGGCCAGGTTGTTCTTCTTTGTCAGGGACAGTGTCTCATCAGTCCTAGTAGAGAAAAGCATCAAACTCTCAAAAGGTAAGTCCTCAATCTTGTGCTTGGTCTCTACAGGCAACATAGTTGGCTTCAACCAGGTGTGGCGTCTAAGAACAACAGAACTCACTCATCCCCCACCACTGCTGTTGGTGATGGAAGAAATGCTGCACTCCGCTCCCACGGACAGAGAGGAACGGAAACTGGATTTTGTAGAAATGTTCCACTCTTCTAGACGTGGGTTGGAGGGATGCAGGCTTTTGCCACAGATCATGTGTAAGGTCTTCCAGGCCTTCTAACACTGGGACTGCAATAATACCAGGGGAGTCCGAATATAGATGACTCAAAATTTTATCCCTTGGCTTGTGTTCAGAAGTAATAACTTCTATCTCAAGGGACTGCACCATATGGATCATCTGTTCTCCATACATATAGACGTCTTCCGTCACAGAGGCCGGAGAAGGCCTGCCCACCCTCTTGTCTGGACTTGGAACCGATGTTGCATTGGAGCTGCCGGAGTCAATGGCAGCATCTTCTTCCCCCACTGCACGTATAGGAGAGCACG